GTGCCCGAACTTGCACTTCCGAGATTTTTGCAAACCGTCCAGTATATTCAGATTCTTGACCTAGTCACTGGAGAGAAATGAAATTGAGCAGAGGCACTAGTTGGCGCCAGCCTGGCTACCACAGTATGGCATTATAAATATCATAGACCATAGACCATAGAGTGTGAAAAACCTCCATCCAAACTTGAGAGGGTCCAAACATAGTCATTAATTTGTAGTCCGTGCCTCTCAAATGCAGAAGATATCTCCTCTTGTATTATTCAGAGAGAAAAAGTATATATATGTATATATATATTTTTTTTTTTGCATAAAAAATCTACAGTTTTTTTTTTTAGTCCTTTATGCAGTTTTTTCTATTTTTTTATGTGTAAGCAGTCATGTTTGTAACAAGAATGGCCAGGTAATATATCCCCATGGACAAGTGATGTCACCAGGCCAAGTTAAAGGTCAGATCTATGGAGAAGTCAGACCACTCACAGTATCTGTATTTTATAAGCAATAAAAACACGGTAGTTGAATAAATGCCAAATGTATACTAGTGTTTCCCACAGAAAATTTGTTAGGCAAGGCAGTGTTGCTGAGAAGAAGTGAGGAGACGGGGGTGTGTGGAGATTCCATGCGATGACCATAGTTTTGCGAGGATTCACGTGGTTCAGAGGGACATAGTCAACACGGGGGCCACTTGTTGTCAAAGCGGCTGCCTTAACTATAAAGTGCTGTGGGAAACACTGTATACACTTAATGCCATACTGTGGAATATTCCCGACAAAGGATTAACATCTATGGAGATAATGAAGAAAGTTAGATGTAGTGCACTAGTAATACAGTACTTTTGTATATATTTATTTAGCTGTATGTTTTTTTCTTTTTTCTGAACAATACAATTAGCTGTTATAGGTCCATATATGATTGATAACAGTAGTAATAAGAGGTCTAAGAAAGAGGCAATTGTAATAGCAGTCATACCCAGTAGTACCTGTTTGTACTAGGAACTGAAATCATACTACTATATGAGAGAAGCCAAAAGGACAGTCATACCTTGTAGTGCCCTTTTTTACTAGGAATTTAAATACTATATGAGGTGGGGAAAAGGATAGTAACAGTATAAATAGCTGGTCATACACTAGGGTCAACCTTTGTCATAATCACTGATTCTTTCAGGCTCCTGCTAGGTTAGACATGGCTATCATACAGCCCCTTGTCAGCTAAAATGAATGCTTGTGCATGATAGAAAGGCAGTGGGAAAATGAAAATAGATCATTCGTGGCTACAAGCTGAGAAGCCTGAATCGTCCCCTCTTGCCAGTATGCCTGCCTCCCTGCTTATCTGTCTGTCTCGCCAACTCACAGCTGAGCCAATCCACCTCTATTCCCATCAGCACATTTATACATTTTACATTGTCCATCACTGTCTTCACAATGAGGACATAGGGACTTGGTTAATAACGTCTGTCATGTCTGTAGAACACTTATTGAAACTTTCCCATTGTTAAACAGTAACAATTAACAAGGAAGGTCTGGGGACTGTTCAGTGCTCTCAAATGGGCCGCTGTATCTGCCCAGGACCACAATGAGGCACAGTGTATTGTATATGTATTCAGACTAAGTACTCTGCTACACAATGACAGTGGCTCACAGAATTAGCTGCACAGCCAGGATTCTACAGCCAAATGATTATCTGCTTTTGTCTGCTCAGACTCTGGGCTAAAAAACAACATTTGTGATTTGTCATATTACTGTACCATATACATGAAAACCAGGTTAACTTTGTGAGGAAATTAAAGTAGTTAAAATGTTTGGTCTCATGACAGTAGAAAAGAATTACAAATTATCTTTTCAATGTGGTACCTGTAAACATTTTGACCAAGTGTAATGAGTGTAATAATAACGGTGAAATAATTTGGCAATAAAAACACCTATAACTGACTAAATGGTAGATATGTTTATGGCATAATGTGTATGTGGGACCCTTCACCAGAAAACGTACATGGTGCACTTTTAAAGGTCCAGTATTATGGACAAATTGACTCTAGTGTACTATGCTATGTTAGAAAGTTGTTACCTCATAAAAAAACACCTGGAGTTGTGTTGTTTATTCGTCTGTCCACATCGCTCAAAATGCTCTGTTCTACCTTGTGATGTCATGAAGTAGTAGTTTTCAAGTTAACACCTACATTTCATCTTTTGTTCAGTAGAGACTGACAATTCCAGGGCTGAAACTATCTAAATGACTCTCGTGAAGGTGTATGGAGCTTAAAAGCACAGTAGAGCATGTCCTGTATTGCCATATCACATCACAAGTGGAGTGGTTTTCATGTTTGAGTGAAGAACTGAGACTAAATATGCAGGATTTGTGTGTTAAACATGAGAATGAAAGAAAACACAACTCCAGGTATGTTTATGATGAGGAAACAACATTATAACACAGATCAGAAAATAGAGTAATATGAGCCCTTTAAGTAAAAGCAAGTATCCATTTGTACTTAACTCTCTTTGTATAAGTTGAATGCCTGTCGCTGTCTCAGGTGCTGAAATTACACAGAAACACCATTTGACCCATAAGTTGCCAAGGCGCTGTGGAGGGCACGCTCAGCTGTTAGCAAAGTGGGTCAGTGCAGCTGGCAGGATGGCATGAATATTTCAAATGGAAGTGCTCCAGTCTGAAGCCTCTGGAACCATCACAGATGCCAAACACTGTTAAACAATGGCTCCCCACTGGGCTCCACTGCTGCTCTGCATGCCTGCAGCTTATTGTTTACTAGTTTAAGCACTTGCTACGATCTGGTGATGGTTTACAAGCCTATTAGAGACTTTGGGACGTAGGGTGAAGTAAAAATGAAATTGAATGGTTGTATAATTTGAGTTTAATTAATGGATTTTTAGAGTAACTGTTGTATTTAGACAAGACAAGACAAAGAACAATGCATTTTAAAATAACTTGATTGTTAACTTATTTTAGTTTGCTCTATTTATTCAAATAATTCAGATAATTATTCAGATAATTATTTGATTTTGGTGTACATGTAAACATAGCCAATGATTTGTTCTTAAGACTACTGCTTTAACTGGTCAAACAAGCACACTTTTTAATTATTATTGATGTGACAAACAGCAGAGCTTGGTATGATTTATAAAGAATAAAACTAACATTTTCAAAACACAGGGGGAGACACTGAGTGAAGGATGGATAGAAGTGGGTCAAAGCTGAGATGACGAGTAGGAGAGGAAGAGGAGAGGAAGACAGCCATCTGAAGACATCTGACTGTGGCGGCTGTTTAAATGTGCAGGCAAATAGCAGCTCAAATTGAGACATGTTGTGTGCGTGTCATCATGAGTGGCAGCTTCTATCCAACAGTCTGCTCCGAATCCTAAAACTTCAAAAATAAACAAAAGATAGTTTGACTTTGCCAGATAGCAGCCATGTTACCCTGCTAAGTTGTCTCTGTAATGTATAGCAATGCAGTGGTGACAGGAACTCTCAATAATAGCCTAGAACTGAATAGATATTAAGAATAAGTGAATATTTATCATCAAAAACATACCTTGAGTTATCTTTTCTTTCATTCATACGTAATCCTGTGTTATTAGTCTGTTGGCATCGCCAAAGTTCAAAATGTTCTGTTCCACCTTGTGATGTCATGAAATTGTAGTTTTCAAGTCAACAACTGTTACCTTTTGTTCAGTAGAGATTAGCAATTCCAGGGTTGCTGAAGTGAAGGTGTATGGAGTTTAAAAATACAGTGGAGCACTTTCATTATTTCCACATGACATCACAAGATGGAAGAGAGTATTTTCTGTTTGATAGAAGAACTCAACCTAAATATACAGGGTTTGTGTGTTAAACATGTGTTAATGAAACAAAACACCACCCCAAGCTATAATAGCTCACTGTCTGGCCTTAAATCTATCTGTCTATCTAGTTCCAAAGTATGGTTTTAACTTATTAAACTGTTTCCACTGCATCATGCTGGAGATGTATCACTTTCAGAAAGTTAAAGTGTTGCTTTTTTACTTCTGTTTGTCTAATGCAAGTAGGCATATTTCTCTATAGATTTGGTGTACATTTAGAGTTATTTTTCTGTAATATTTTAGTGTAACATGGTGTGAAAATTTTAAGAACCACTAGTCTCTATTTTCAGGTTCTTACATATTTACTCGCACCATATTATTTAGCAGCTCACTCACACACAAAATGAATGAGAGGTACTCTGACACTGCACTGGCCTCCAGGTGTTATGGCTGTCTCAAGTCTGTCCACGGTTTGAGGAGAGGCGTTGTCACGGTTACACCAATGACACGGCTCGATGTGGCTGCGCTTCCTGGTGGCCTTCTCATTCAGCCAATCAAGGCAAACAGGCCACGCTCTATTTAATGATTATCCCAGCATCTGTCCATCTCTCTTCTCTGCAAGCTGTATCTGAGCGGGCGAACAGTAAGTATGGCTTCAAAGCACAACACACGGAATATCAGCCAACTACACAGAGCTGGGTGTTAGTCTGAGACACTCAGGTCTAGAAATAATAGGAAACATGCATTTACACCATAGGGTGCTGTGAATCAATGTTTCTATTGTTTATAGTGAGTAATGATAGATGTGAGGTGACAAGCTCTCACTATATGTTACTTTTATGTTAAACTTCTAAAGCTGGTGACCATGTCTTCAACTTGTGAACAAGGAATTTTAAAATGTGTAAAATGAGAGAGAAATGGGGATAGAAGGTGTGCCTGTACTTTGTTATGGCAAAAAGAAACATCAGGAAATTAACTGTGACTGTCATCACACACACATGTTTTGGGCAATACATGCAGACATAATGGACATCAAGTATGCAGGGCGTTTAGATAGTGAGATGCCTGTAGAACTGTTGACTGTACAGTATGTTGCCTTCACTTAAATGCTTCTGCTTTGTTCGTTTTGTGATTGCAGGTGAGACCGGTGTAACCCTGTCACGCCCACAGCGCCCCCTTTCGGCCCGGACGGCCCACCATGGCCCGGCGCCTATGAAAGGGTACCATGTCAGCCGTAGCCTGTCCCAGCACTCCAGCGGCGGCCCATGTGACTGCGATGGCCCTGGCAGAGAGTACTACCAGGGCCACAGTGATGGACACTACTATGGAGCCGAGGCTCTGGCCTTGGAGAGGCACCACTCTCACTCCCACTCTCACAGCCACTCCGGAGGGGGTACTTTCCCTCGTGCTCACCCCAGCCAGCACACACCCATGCAATCCTTCGACTCCTGTGAAGAGTGCCTGTCCTCGGGTCATGGGGGCAAGATGCATCGAATCCCTCCAAACCTGATGGACCAGTTTGAGAAGCAGGTACCCTTCCATCCAGATGGCTTTCACACACTGCAGTACCAGCGCTCAGTTAGTGGGGGCGCTGAGCAGCGCAGTGAGAGCCCATCACGCATTCGCCACCTGGTTAACTCTGTGCAGCGTCTCTTTGCTAAGTCACATTCTCTAGAGGCACCATCTAAACGGGAGTACAACGGCATGAGAGGAGGAGGGGACTACCGCAGTGAGAGAGGAGGGGGACATCGGAGTGGAGGGGAGGATGGGGGAGGACACTACTCGGGACATCAGTCTCGCTCCACTAGGAGGAACAAGTCCAGAGAGCGCAGCAAGAGCGGAGACTCCAGACACGAGTCGGGCCGGCGCCACCGCAGTCGGACCGCAGGCTGGTGGAGCTCAGATGATAACCTGGACAGTGACAGTGGGATTCTGGGGGACAGCAGGCGCAGATATCCTCCAGGACATGAGAGTTTGGATGCTGCCATACAGGAGCTCACTATGAAGAAGTCTAAGGAACGAGGAGGGGGCCCAGGGCATGGGGAGTGCATGGCCTGCACCACCATCGCTCTGGCAGGAGGGGAAGGCCATCACGGTCACCACGGACACTCCTTGAAGAGGAGCACGTGGTCGGCCATGACTGTCAGTCAGGCCAGAGAGGTGTACCCCTCCTCCAGGGGAGGGGCCTATGACAAAGCCCTGGTGCCAATAGATAGCAAGATGAAGGAGAGGAGCTTCCACTACCTCCAGGTTTGTGTTCACCTCCCCTCCCCACTGTGAGCACGTGTATGTACAATTTATTTGTGTTCATCCAAGCCCATCACATTCAATAATATCAAATTAAACCATCACCAGATGAAATACCTTGATGCATTATTAGCTTTTAGACCATTTGAAGTGTAGAATTGGATATTTTTACATCATCTTAAAGAATCACATCAGACAATTGTTCATAAAGTCAACAAATATATATTCTCTGTTTATTGCCGAAAGAGCAGTAATGGTATTGGTGTCTATTAGTACACTGTCCTGTGGAGCAGAGGTAAATCTATGTTTGTGTAGCCCCAGCAGGTCTCCACAGCTCTCCCTGCTGCTAGTCCAGGCCCTGTCCGTCCACACAGCTGAGCTCCACTGATACAGGCAGCACAAAGAATAGGTCCATATGCGACTTCATTTTTCCAAAAGACTATTTTTCTCCCTGCCTCAGGCTAGAAACATAACCCATCTTTGAGCACAACATCCAGCAGCAAATTTGTGAAGAAGGGCTCACTCTGAGGTGTTTTCATATGCACACTTGAGACTGATTGATTTCACAGAGGTAGTATTTTGACACTATTGAGATGCTTGGTCTATTCAGGAAAACAAAAGAACAGGTGCCAATGCCCAGCTGTGGGACATTGTCTAAAATGATAGAAAAATGATTATAGTACCTTCTAGCACTTTTCAATTTTATTCCAAAATAGATTTCAGCTCAACTGGTGATCATAAAAAATATAGTTAGTTACAAAAATAAAAAAACATACCAACAACAAAACATACCACCTATCTTATGAAAAACTGACTTTTCTGAGTTTTGAATCCATGTTAAAACAGGGTTCTCTGTTATCTGTCAGCCTGTTTTGTAAAGACGATACACCTTAACATTTTTCTGGTGTTTCTCAGCTTATTTTAACATGTTTTATCCTAGCAGCCTAATTTTGTCTTCATAAAAGTCTCCCATTTTACTCAGTGCATTAGCAGAATAACTCTAGCGTTCTCTGCTAATGTTTTGTTTATTCTATTTTTTTTGCCAGCCAAAACATTGAGGTATTTCCCAGATGCAGTAGTTAGTATTACAGGAAATGCCATGTTTTGAATAAGGTGTGAAATATTATTGGGGGCCATAAATCACAAGCATTATGAGACAGGGTTAATACAGTGGCACTATCTGTGATCTGCAAGCTTGTTAATCATGGCAGTGAGAGAGATAAATATTCTTCTTGAATGTATAAAAAGACTAAAGGCGATGCTAGGTCAACTCCTTGGGCATCCTCTACAATATGCTATCTGTAGCTTAAGCCTCCATCGCACCGGCCTGTGTGTGTCAGATAAGATAAACATAAGCATATACAGCATGAGTGAAGCAGAGATAGCAACACACGTGCTATGGAGGAGCGATAGGAGGCGATGGTAGACGAGGGCCGGGGGAGGGCGCAGCAGAGGGGCATACACTGGGAAAATGAGAGCGATAGAAGCCAGCCAGGAGGAGAGAGAGATTAGGCTGAATCATTTCTAAAGTGATGACCTTAAAAACACACACTCTGCTGGACATTAGAGCCTGGGGCCTTGGCGCATGTGTGAGTGGAGATGCTGTCATTTTAGATTGTACAGTATATGATAGTGTGGACTTTTCATAGTAGGCCAGCAAAATCTACAGCAGCTAAGTGTTTTGGCTGTGGTGCTGTTTTGCAATGGTCCACTTAAACATTCTGCATATGACATTTATTAATTAATAATAATAATAAACAAATCACAAAGTGCTACAGTCAATGTAAAATTGCATATAATAACAACAATAAAACACAGTTACACAGGCCTGTATGCCTTTTGAAATAAAAATCTGCCTCTTAAAAGCTTCACTGCCTGTGGTGCCCTCAGGTGGAAAGGGAGGGCATTCCACAGGCATGGAGCAGCTGCCTGAAAGGCTCTGTACTCCATAGTGTGTTTGTTTGGGGGACCTGGAGCAGGTTGCTGTCACTGAAGCGGAGGCATCTTGTGGGTTTGTGATGAGTCAGGAGTTATTCTGGGTACACTGGTGCACTGCCATTGACACACTGGTAGGTCAGGAGGCAGATCTTATATTCCACCCTGAGCCGAACAGGAAGCCAAAGGAAGTTCTTGAGGATGGGGGTGATATGTTGAGTATTAGGCACTGGATCAAATGAAGTCTTTGCAGATTCCTGTCAGAGTACGGTGACCAGACATCCCTATTTACCCAGGGCAGTCCCAGAATTGTCTCCCTCCAGATTTACACAAAACCAGTGATTTGTCCCAGAAATGTCTCAATTGTCCCCATTTCTGAACAATTTGATCCCCACAAACAGTAGAGGGGAATATATTGTCATTTGTTTAGCTAAAATATAAAAACCATGCTTGAAAATGGCAAAAAAAAAAAAAAAGCAAGCTCCTCAGATTATGACTGACCCACAAGTGAGTCAAGAATTGACAATTTTACATGCTCTTTTCACAATTTTATTTATACCAACCATCCCAATCCAGGTGTGTACCAGGTTTGCTAGAGATCCCGATGCTAGAGATCCCGATGAGGATTACATTACATTTCTTCTATGGTAGTCCAGAAAAAATGATCTTTCCCTTGTGAAGTGTGTAGTAAAGATATTTGGGGTAAAAAAGAAAGAGAGACTTTCTGATACCAGTCTTTCAATTCACGCTCCTTAGCCAAGGCACATCCAATATCATGTCTAGTATAAAAGCAGTATGTTTGAAAAATAAGCGCACCAATAGAATAAATAAACCCCATACACACAGGGGGAGTATGCAAACTATATGACAGTCCTGGACAAGGGCTAACCACTTTGCCATTGTCAATTAAGTGTTTACAGTTGCATGGGCAGAGTATCGATTCCAGTAGAATACTAAAATGAAATATCTATAACAGTCTGTATTAGAGGATACACAACTTTCAGCACACTTTTTTCTTTTACATCTTTTGTCTCTTTCATGTGTCTGTGCCTCATTTCTGTGTCTTAGCCTGCTGCCTGTGTATTGTGGCCTTTACTCTCTCTGTACATCTCTGTTGGTGCGCTCATTTGCTGTGTACACTTGTTGTGTTGGTTTGCGTGCTTTGGCTCACCGTATTCTTCCTTCTCTGTGTCAGTGCTTCTCCAGCTGTCAGAGTTTCTCTCTCTCTGTAAGTCCGTTTGTTGCTTTCTTCTTTTCTCTGTCTGACCTCACAGCTCATTCTTAGTGCATGAGCGTGCACGTGTGAGTGAGTGTGCACATGCACGTGTGTGTGTGCGTGTGTGTGTGTGACTATTAGGTCCGTGCGCATGTGCCACTGAATTAGACTGACTCATTGCTGGCCTTCTGTTTGAAGTGTGAAATATTTTTCTCTGATGAAATATATTTCTGTTTTGGGAGATGTTGTGACAAACAGATAAATTGCTGCCAGGGAAGCAGTGTCAACAATATCTTCAGACTACATATGCATATGTTATTTACAGAGGTGCAAAGAAATTTGTTATTTCTACTAGGTGTGTATTACATATAGACACAGCAGTTCAAGTACAAACTTGACCATCTGATGTATAAGCTGACAGATAAACAACAACAGAAGATACCTCTTAGTAGATTTATAAGTGATAATAGTATTTACTTGTATTTATATTGTAGCAGTTCAAGTATCTTTCAAGTATGTTTAACTCAAGTACTTGTTTAATGTACTAAAAAGAAACTAGTTATGTCTACTACTTTCACCCCTGCTCATTTGAACTACTGGTGCGTTCCATTTGTCCTCAGAGGTTGGATTTTCCAAGTTTTGACTTCAACATGGCGACGCGCTGCATTGGGTGAAAATTAAAAACCCAACATACTGAACATTTGTTATTTTTGTTATTTTTCCTTTTGCTGTGCTCTGTTGTCTATCCACTGTCTTTGCACCCTATTCCATGCTCTGATGAGAATGGAATGTTAACTCTTACACATTGTTTTAAATTACTAAACTGACTTAATTAGATCTGCATTATAGCTGATTGAGCACTTTCTTATTTCCTGATTGAGTTGTTTCTGTAATATACCATATATAATATACCAATATGGCCATTATATTTTCAACTTCACAACTGGAACACAGAAACTTGGAGATTGGAGTTCCAACTGAGGACTACTGGAATGCAACATAATCACATAGTTGTATGTATTCAGCTTTACACCTTCCTCCCTCACCCCTCGTTGGTGCATTCTCTTGTGCTGTGATCATGACAGGTGCCATCAGAAGACTGGGGTGGGGGATACTCAGGAGGAGGGGGGAATGACAGCGGGGGTGAGATCCCATGTCGGCGCATGAGGAGCGGGAGTTATATCAAAGCCATGGGTGACGACGACTCTGCTGATTCAGATGCCAGCCCTAAAGCCTCACCGAAGTCCACCCTGATCGCCCAACGGGAGGCTTTCAGACGCTCTGTCAGCATGGATCAAAGGTGCACCCCCATCAGCTAATAATACTGTTAAAGTCATCATGACAAAAAAGAAATTAGTCTTAGTTATCAACTAACCTTTATTTTTATTAATGTTTGTATGTACTACAACAAAGGCTATTAAATAAACCAAACCAAGAATGTTGTAGGTCACTGAAAGACTATTCATAAATTCTATTAGTAACTAAATGGAATCATTTGGCCAGTTTCATAAACATGTTTTAACTAATGACTGGGACGTTTAATTCACTTTTTTTTACTACTTGCCTACATGTAAAACAAATCAGCAGTCATTGCTTGGACACAGAAAAAAATATTGTTGAATAATAAATATGAAATACTTTATTAGTACAAACATTATATATGACATGTTCCTGTACTGCATTGTGTTCAGGTATTCATGTAAACAGTGCACAGACTCGTACCCTAACAGCAGGACAGCCTCTAAAAGCCACGCCCGCTCTCGGAGTTACACCCGTTCCCTCACCAGTGCCCAGGTAACCACTTCTGTCAGTAATTTTTGTATTTTAATAATTTCATGTTGAAGTCATATTGTTTCTTTCTTTTAAACAATTGTTAAGATTCCACTGTGCTTGTTTTAGCTGGGGGACACACTAAACCGTCAGTTTGAGGCAGTGTGTGAAACCATGTTTGGGGAGGTGGAGTCCCAAGCTGTGGAGGCTCTGGACTTGCCTGGGGTGTTTCGCACTCGCAGCCACAGCTACGTACGGGCTATCCAGGCTGGTTGTTCCCAAGATGATGACTGTCTCTCCGTCTTCTCCATGTCCGCTCCACAGGGAAGCATCAAGAGTGGGGCAGGTGAGTGTGCGACTACAATATTTTTAATCTGCTACATGAAGGACGTACTTATTATAAGTGCAATGTATGAAATATGTTGCACAATTTTTTTTTAGTATTCAGTGTTCCTTTTAGACACATAAACATTCAAAAACTTTTTGAATTATCTAGTTGTCTTCAGCCATTGTCTTTTAAATCAGTCTTCAGTACAAATGTTTCACCAGTAATTAAAATGCATCAAGCAAAAAATAATTATACCAAATTAGTGTAAAGTAGTTAGTAATTAGTTGTAATGTTTATTGTTTGAACACAGTCTTAATGCGTTTTCAACAGTCTGATCATTTTGTGCTTGTGGGAGTGAAATTGTATATTTCTATTTCATTTAATTTCTGATTGTTATTTGACATTCTCACCATAGAACCAACATCCAATTCCGCCCACATTGTACACTAATATTTATTCAAGTCAGAACTTACTGTTTGTGCTATGCTGAGGCAATCCTTAAAATATAAATATTACATGAAATGAAACAGTGCATTTGTATCCATATACATTTGAACAAAGCACAGAGGATGAGACAGCTTTCACTAAAATCTTTTATCTCCATCTTGAGAAGCAGGTTAGCTCAAGGGAAGACACTTTGAGTTCGCACTATGTCTGTCTCTGACACCATACTTCTCGCTGCATTCTGTGGGCTTTTTTTTAAGTTGCAACTATGAATATTTTATCACATCTTGTATCTGCATTTCTTATGAATAATTTTCTTTGTTTTTCTCTGTTATTTTGTGTTTGCCTCACCTTCCTTTATCTCCTTTTTGTCCTCACATTGTCTGTTTTTTCTCAGTCTGTCCCTTTTGTAAGTATGCGACTCCCTGCCTCTGGGAACATAGTGCACATTTGGCTTTAAATTTTGCCTTTGTTTTCCTCTTCCCCACTCTTCTGACACTTCAGTCTTTCCTTATTGTAAAGGTGCACCTCCTCCACTCCCTCCTCGCATGTCCAAGTCTTCACTGTCCGTGCGGGCGCAGAGCAGCACTGAATCCACCCAGGACGCCTACTTCCAGAGCACCGCGGGACGAGCCAAACAGCACAGTAACTCTGTGGACCTGGGCAGTTCAGATGGCATTACTGCACGCTCCTCTAGGGGGGGCTACTACACCTCCACTGGGCCAGGTCGCTCCAGGCAGCACAGTAACTCAGCAGAGAGCCTTGATGGAGTCCGAGGCTCCAGAGAAATTGTCCCATATGGAGGGGGGCCGGGGGTGGGGGTAAGGGCCAAACACAGTAGCTCTGCGGACAGCCTTCTGGAGGGGCCACCCAGACCAGTTAGGGATGGCAGGGCCGGGGGGAGCCTGGGGAAGTCCAGCTCCCTGCCCCAGAGCAGCATGGTGCTCAGCAAAGTGGTGACTGAAGAGGGGCGCGTGGCACGCAAGTGGAGGCCATCTATAGCTGTGCAGGTAAGGTTTCTGCATCAGTGTTTTAGCATTCTTATTTTGTGGCCAACAGTTAATCATTTGAATAGGAACTAATGGCTTAGTCTCAGCTCTGGGGAGTACTGGGAATACTATTGTGTCTTTGGGCAAGACACACCTGTCTTGCCTGTGAATGTTATATGTTCATTGGTTTGAACAGTGAATGTTAAATGAACATACATGGCATAATTGCTGTAAACACTGCTTTGTTGCCATGGGCTATTTTCCATCTGATGTCCCACATTTGCTCTCACAGACTTTCATTCGTACACCTGTGTACATGGATACAGGCAAGGTGGATGAATTGTTTTGCCTAAGGACATGATAACAGTATGCACATGAGCAGGAACTAATTCTCTCATCTCGGGTTGGTGGACGAGGGCTCTAAATACTGAGCTACTGCCGCCCATTTACAGCGCCTTGTATTCCCGGGGGTCTCCCATCCCAGTACTAACCAGGCCAAACCCTGCTTATTTTCTGAAATCTGACAAGATTGAGATTTCTCATAGTGGTTTAAGTGTGTGAGTTACTGGTGGAATTGGAGAGGCTGCTGGTACAGTAATTATTGGTGATCATAGCCTACGATGAAACCACTAAACATTTATTTCTATCCACGTATATTCATTGCAAATTTACCATACTAGTTACTGACCACTGTGAGTAATACCAGGAAAAGACCACAAGAGCTAAAATTATAGAGATTTTTTAGCCCAGTTGTCAGACATGATTATCACAGTATTTCATTATGTCATAACTTGTCTGGTCCTTTGTCAGAACATAACCCTCTTTTGTTTCAGGTGGATAGCTCTGAGACCCTCTCCGACTCCGACGCAGAAGGAAAAGCCCTCACTGAGGTCCACTCAATAGGAGTGCAAGTGGAAGAGGATAAACGGTGAGTCAAAAAAACAAAACAACCACTTTTGTCATTTGACCTTAAATGTCAATGAAATACAAGTTCAAGTATCTGTCTTTAATCATTGAAAAGTCTGGCTTCATCAAGAGCCTTTGTGAATAATTTTGAGGTGCAATTTGAAAAAGGCTCGTCTCTGGGAGGCGCCCCACAGTGCAGCCCCTAATGCTGATTTTCTAGGCTGGATATTATTATTTCATTTAACATTTCATCAGACTTCACAGCTTGAACTGAGCAACACTTCTATTCTATGTGTGGATGTTTTCTCGCCATCTCCAACTGTAACCATGACTACAACTAGAAATCATACATGCAACATGATTTTTACACATGATGCAAATAATTTTCTAATTATATCCATGGGTCAGATTGGCTCGCAGTGCATGGGTGCGATTTCTTTTTTTCACTCATTCAAGCACCTGTTAACAATCGCCCCTCCTCCAACAAGCATTGAGGAGGATGGGAGACAGACGAGAGATGAAAACTGTGATTCAGAGCTCACACGTTATCTGACAGCGAAGGCTGAGGGCTATAATGGAGTAAATACTCCCTACTCCAGTCCATTGACATGACATTTGCGCACAGTGTTGCGTCATATGCCACAGGATTTAGCTGTGACAATAGTGAGTGATCGTAGTACCAATGTGTAGAAAGATAGATCTGTGGTTTCTAGTGAGCACTACCGGAAGCTAATGTATTAACCTTTTGTTTGGCATTTTTACAATCATTTTAATTTAGGCTGGGCGAAATGGTAAAAATAGAACTGTGGTCCAATCCTTATGAGACAGTTTCCTTTTTTGGCAATATTATGATTTTGTAATTCTCTGCTTATGCATTTAGCTGCATCCATCATTTTTTGAGTGAGTGACAGGGAGAATCACAGAGAAGTATAATCTCCCAGGAGCAACAAATTGCTTGTGTTTAATGTCATGGGATAACATCAAAATCTCTAGAAAATTATTTTTGTGTATTGTCCACAGATAATAATAATTTGAAGGTGATCAACAGGCAAGTAAAATTGCAGCACAGACTGATTTTAAGGTTTTATTCCTTTCAAAAGTATTACAGATTGCATTCATGTAACGTGTTTTACTAATATTAACAACTACTGTTTATAACTTGCCCACTTTTTGAATAATCATCAAATTGTCTGAGCATGGGTCTATTCAGGGTGCAACAAAACACCTCTAGGGGTACACAAACTGGTAAAAAGGGGGAACAACAAGATTCAAAGAGAGATGTGGTGTGATTGTGTGTACCAGGCGGGCACGTTTCAAGCGCTCCAACAGTGTGACAGCGAGTGTGCAGGCCGACCTGGACCCCGAGGGCTTCTCGGGGCTCAGCATCGCCGTGCCAACGCAGGATAAAAGTCTCCAGTTCGGCTGCTCTTTCCAAAGGCACTCATCTGAGCCCGAGTCATCCAGCCAGTTCACTGAATGCCACCGCACTGTGCACACGCAGGGACAGTGGGCCTACAGAGAGGTGAGTGCACTCAACAAATCTTGTATCTGTGTTGCTGGTGCTCCACTGGTCTTATATGGGTTCACAAATTAATTAATCATTGCATTTATATAGTGCCTTTGAAGACACCCAAAGTGCTTTACAGAGCATTATTCATTCACTCTGCACTCAGTGATGGTAAACTACTAGTGTACCCACAGCTGCCCCGGGGCAGACTGACTGAAGCAAGGCTGCCCCTCCGACCACCACGATCACTCACTCATACACCACTTTCATACAAAGTAATGTAGGTCTTGCCTAAGGACACAACAACAGTTTTTGCAACTGGAGCCCCACTGTGGCACCTGGAATTCCCAGTGGTCTCCCATCAAAGAGATCAGGCTGGTATGGTTATGAATAATGTGATGTGTAATGTGTAATGCACTTTTTGCCATATCAGTTTTCCTTAAAAATTATATTCGAACTGTCAGTAGAAGGTGCACAAAACTGTCCATTGAAATATTTTTAGCTGTGAAGTCATATTGATCAGAATAATTCTAGTGAATGTGCACATATAGATCTTAAAACCTTTAGAATACATTAACTTGTGCACATCTATTGAGCTCCTCTGTGCTTTTAAGAACTGCTGAAGGAGACATTATATATTTATTATATATCTGCACAACCCGTGAGAAGAACATGTGGGTGACTAACATTGTGATTTTAAGTTATATGTAAATAAATTTAACAGTATATCCTGAGAAAACTTAGGGTTAGTTTAGCATGATACATAATACAATTTTATAATGACCTCTTTTGTCATTGGGAATGACTGGCTGTTTCAATATCCAGGTCTCTTCTATGAGTTGCCCAGCCAAAGATACTGGGGTGATTGGTTGTCTCAGTGGTTTTAAATAATGGTTCTATTGCAGAGGACAGGTTGTGGTTACAAAGTAATAAAGTTAATGTAACTGAGTCATTGTAACTAAATTTGATCTTTTATTTGTTGCTCCAGGACTTTATCCAAAGCGGCTATACCACGGAGGCCTGTCCAACCAACAGTAGACCTCACCAGCACCCACACTTGCCTCCCCGTTCACATTCTCCCCTCCCCATAACGTCTGAGCGCGCCTGGGCCGGGACTCCTTCTCTAGAAGGGCCCCGGAGCCTCCCAGACTCAGGCCGTGCCTCTCCCTGCATGAGGGATGGAGAGTTCTTCTTACGCCTGTTGCAGACTGAGGTAGAGAGGATGGAGGGATGGTGCTCCAACATGGAGAGAGAGGCGGAGGAGAATGAACTGCCCGAAGAGGGTAAGTGAGAAGAGATGGGACCAGTGTTAGTTTATTATTAGTCTTAAATTTATAGCTTTAATTAAAAATACACTGTTTAACTTATTGGTGGAGAGTATGTGACTAAATACTCTATGAATATGTAATTAATTTACCTATACTATTCCACAGTATGGCATTAAACTTGTCTTGCTTTTGAAAAATATGCATTCTATTCACCCATTAGTGGGCTTGCCTCTATACAGACCAGACCTGTAGCTTGGTCAGGTGGTGTTACCTGCTTGTTTTTAAGGAGATAGATAAGTTTAATCCTATTCTTTGGAACATTACAGGCTTTTTAGTTTTAATTCTAATTTACTACTAGAGGCATACTTTCTTTACCTCTGTGACTGAAAACAAGTTCATCAAAATGGTTTCTATTTCATTAGGAGCTTGTTTCTACAGTAGTCTCTACTTGTCCTTTCTTAAAATTGCACTTTAGTTTTTAGTCTACAAAAATATCAGTACTTTTATCACCTTTTTAAATTAACTTTAGACAGAATATATTAGTCAACAAAATTATCACTGGATGTGACTGTAAACCCATAGCTCCCTGCTAACGTTTTTTTCTGCCACGTTTTCATAGCTCTGGAGCTGATTCGCAACGCTATTGGCAGCACCCAGATGCTCATGAATCAGAAAGTGCAGCAGTTCTTCCGACTGTGCCAACAGAGTGTGGTATGTTTGAACACAAATCCTGACAGTAAACATGGTGTACTTTCCACCACTACTTGTTACCTGATGGCAAAAAATATGTCTCTTGTTACCAAGGCGATGTGGAATGGCAATACTGCAAGATCATAAAACCATCGGGGCTGTCATCACACTTAAGCATAAAGTGTCATCTGCAATACAACACCCTATAAACCCTGACTGTTATTGGTGGTCATATGGTATCTGTTAGGACCAGCTCTATGAAAACATTAAATCGAGGTTTATTTTGCATGTATCCACTGCTGTACACACATCCAGCAAATGACTGTTGACCTATTACACAGTGTTATGGGTTATGTCCGCCATGCTAACCTTTCCAGCAGAATGAGTAATAACGTCTTCAATAATTTGAGGCATGTTAGCGATCTCTCTGGGACCTGTACTCATCAGAAAACCCCATCAAGAACTGCAGTTTTGAAGATAGTCTGGCCCTGGTGTTGACCATATGAATCACTTGCCAAATACTTTATTAGTTGGGGCTGGAAGATATGGAGACATGAGAATGAGTCCACTGAATTGAGACAAGATGAGATTTAGACATAATTTATAACAAATAAATAATGTGATTCAGTTCAGAAATATGGCCTAAAGATTTATCTCATGTCAGATTTTTACTGTCATTGTGGCACTGATTTTAGAGGTGTAACAACCCTATTTTGTTCAGTCCAAATGTTAAAACATGTATGCACTATATTATGGTAATTTTATCACACAAGATCTTGAGGTATGAAGCCTTATCCAATCCTACTCATTGGTGCTCTTACTCCCACTTTAAAACATAAAATCTCAGGACAAAAATAAATAATCAGTTGGTGGTCCTAATGTACTCAATGATATCGACTCTTTTATCTTGTCACTTTTTCAGCTATGTTTTTCTGTTCCCATCAGGACCCCTCGGCGTACCCCCAGCCTACCTCTCAGGATCTGGCCAGCTTCTGGGACCTGCTGCAGATCAACATCGAGGACATCAGGGTCAAGTTCCAGGACCTCCAGAGGCTGAAGGACTCGGGCTGGAGGCTTCCACCTGAAAAGAAGGTGAGAGCTTTGGGCACCTCCCGCCCTGCCCTGGCCCCCCTCCAGAGGGCGCCCCGAGCTAAGATGGCAGTGTGCAAGAGGGTAGCACAGATGGCCCTGCTCCCCCCCAGGCCTCTGCGGGCGCTCTGCAGACAGGATGCAAAGACGAACTGAGGCAGAAGGCTCTCAAGCTAGTATGAATAAAGTGTCAACAGAATGTCTATAACTGTGTAAAGATGGAAACTGTTAAATGCCTTCTGGAGTCACCATAACCAAACCAAAGATTGTGAAATTACCAGCAGTGGGGAGAATACTTGTATTACAGAATACTGAAAACTTGCATCAAAATGTATTTTGTAATGTATTCCATTACATGGTACAGTCAGTTTACTGTAGTCTGAATACTTAAAACACTTTCACATTGAAATGCATTGTATTGTGTGCTTGTTATCTATTGATTAGAAGGATACATCGCACATGCATACTTTTGGTTACTTAGTTACTTCTCAACACTGCTTATGAGGCAGGCCTAACAGCATAGCATTATCTGCAGTAATTTGCAACAGATGTTAAGCTACGCTTGCATTTAAACACCAAACATTTTTATTTATCCAGTCTTGGAACTGGATAAAGAATGTACTTTTTTAACATTGTAACTTTGTGTAAAATATACTTAATTATTTAAAATGAACTAAACTAACGTTATTTGTGTCTTTTCTCTTCATTTTTGCATTACCCTTATTCCCCCTCTCATGTCACCCAATGTGTTGTGTAAATGTCATTGGTTTCTTTGGTATTATCCATTCTTTCCTTATTCGATTTTTCCATCATTTCTCCTTGGTTGCTCTTTTGTTCAATAAATCCCTTTCATGTTATCGCTGCCACTGGATCAGGAGGACAAGAAGCCTCCTCCTCCCTTACCAAAGAAGCCAGCGGGGGGCGTGAGTGGCAGCTTGCGGGCTGACAGCGTTGGTGATGGCGGTGGAGTTGGAGGGGGGTCTGGTGGTCTGGTGGTGCCCCGCGTGGGAGGACACACTCTGCCCATGAGGGAGAAGTCTCTGGAGCTGGGGGACCGCAGCCGGACTGAGGCACGTAGGAGGCTGCTGCAGACCAAGCGCACTGCGTCCTTCAGGCAGAACTCAGCCACGGAGAGCGCCAGTGACAGCATTGAGATCTACATCCCCGAGGCCCAGACACGTCTTTGAACGCACCACTAGTACTACATAATAGGAGTTAGGTATCAACACTGCAAAAAAGGAATATCTACAATAGATACAGGTGCACCATGTAACATTTTATATGGAATGTCTGCCATCTGCTTGTCTTTATGAAGTTGTTATTGTTTTGCCTGAAATGTTCAACAATATAGCGTTACAGGCTACTGAAGTTATTTATCTTGCAGGTGTGTTCATGTCTAAAAAGATTTTAAAAAGTAAGCATGTTTATTGTGAGCGGAGCTGCCTCTCCACTGATCTGACCTGTAAGTTGGCCTGTTGGCACTGCTTCTTTGTCTCCATGGAGATAGATAAACTTAATGCCATGTTGTGGAATATTTCAGGCAAAGTAATAACAACTCTATAGAGACAAGAAGGTGGTGAACACTCCGCCAGTAAAGTTACATATTGCACCCTTAAAATCACTTCAGAATTTTGTATTATTTTAAGTAGTAATATTTTATCAAAATCAAAACGTATTTATACCAGTAATGTCTTGAAGTATGTAAAAGAACCCTAGTTTTGAAGTGATAGAGAAATACCTTTTTTGCAGTGTCACTCTAATCTCTGCAGGTTACAACAATGAGCCAATCCCTTTTACATTTTGGAGAACTGCCTCTCACCTCATATACTTCTATGCACTGTTGGGCAGTGTTACAAGGTTATATTATATAGCGTGAGGTTGAGAGTCATTTGCTTTTTAGGATAAATATGAGCTGAAATTCAAATGTAGTTTTATATTACAATATAATTATAGTGAGCCTATTTGAACCTAAGTGCCAACAGGAGGTTCGACTTTGGTAGATTTTCTTGTTTAAAGTGTAAACATGTGTGGAAGGTGCAATAATGGCGTCTCTATCCTTGAGCACAACTTACTGGAATTGTGTTTTGAGACCTATTTAAACAGATTTATCTTGGTGTACCATATATAGGCCTACATTGTTGGCTGTGTGTAGATATAGCAAATATATACAAGTACTGAATATGAGCAGAAGTATGTGACTTGAGACGCAATGCAGTTCTATTGTTTGGTGTCCAAAGAGGCCAACAAAAATAATGGCAGCCATTTTAGTATTTTGAAATCTTGTTAAAAGAGGTGTAGCCAGATTTTTTTCTTCAATCATCTTGCTGACGAAACCACCCAAGTAGTTCACTTTTGTATAACAGTAGTCAGCATTGTAGTAGCATGCCTATGCGTGCACCTAGCACTACTCCTTCACTGAAAATAAAGGGCTTAAAAGGCACAAAACCTCTAGGTAAAAAGATGACCACATCTCCCTGTATGAATTACATTTTAATTAACATGATATTTTTTTCATGATCTCACTACAGACATTTACATATGGATGAATTTGTGACACAGATTTCCATAAAGTCAAGAGACAGACTCCCAATGAACAGTGACGAGCCTGGTCTGCCTTCTCCACCTGGTCTCAGCAGTCTGCAGGGCCGTTCCTCTCACAAATGGAGCTTGTTTCCCCTGTCATCCCCAGTATCAGACTCTGCCCTCTGCAGCAGTGGGGCGTTTGAATGTGCCAGTGCTGTTTGTATATAGTGTGCACACTCTTGTTTGCCAAAAGCTTCTCAGTGTAGCATCACAGCCTTGACAGCTCGAGAGCCTCACATACAAACCCCAGCCCTTTGGTTTTTATGTAGTCTTTTAGAAGTTTCAGTGTTCCAGGGTGGGGAATAGATTACAGTGACTTTTCAGGACATAACCGAAGATGCCCCCATTTCACTGTGATACTTTTGTGCCACCTAGTGGTCATGTAAGGACCCAGACCGACTGGAGTGGCTCCAAAAAATGTTCTTTCCACCTCAGGCAGGAATCTATACAGCCTGCTAAACAGCCATGAGCGAAGATGATATTAACAAAACACCCATTAACATTGGTTAAGTCAATACTTTTTCTATTATGTGTTTAGCGAAAGGAGAGAATGCCTTTGTTACAATGATTTCACCAACTTGAATTCTTTAAAAGCATCCCTTTCGTCACTTTAAAAATGCGCTTTACTTAATAGCTTTTGGGAGAATCTATAGCCAATTTATAGCAATGAAGACATGGTTGTCTACAGTAATCAAGGAATGACTGCAGACTAGCTGTGATAGACAGTAAACATTGAAAAGCTGTCCATCACCAAGCATTAGGCTATAGTATTGTCTACACTGTATTGTACAGTGTTATCATGTGAATCCTTACCAAATGAGATGACATCTGGTATAAACAATAATAACAATAATTTTATTGGTCATTTGAATGAAGTGGATGCTTCCCTATGTCTCATATGTTTTTTGTCATAGGCACAGGCACACAGTCTATGTGCAGCTAGCAGCAACACACTGATGGCATAGTTCATATCCAATGTGATGCTTAAAAATTGATGAGAATACTTTTTTCTTTTAATGGTTTAGTTATAATCATCAATGAGTTTTTTGAGTGTTGCCTGTATTGGTGTTTCTTTTCTTCCTTACATCACTTAATTGTATTTTTTAACAACAAATCATGTAGCATGATTTTCCGAGCTTTTGAGAGGGGTATTTCTAAATGAAGTACCATATTCTTGAGAACATTATTATAGGATTGTGTGTGTACATGTGTGTGTGCAGTGAGAGGTGGTAACTAAAATAGTCCAAAATTAGCCATGTTTAAGAGATTAAGGAGGAACTGTTAAGCATGATTCTTTTCTTTTTCTAAGATTTGAAACATGTTGGGAAATGGGATATTTTAATGGCAGATGTATATTTTATAACATAATTTTTAGATTAGTACAGTCTATGTACAAAAAGCATATATCAAATGTGAAATATTATGATAGATTCTAATAGCCTTGTGTAATTCTACAGCTGTGTGGCATATCCTGAAAACAGTTAATACTGGATTTCTTTTAGGTTTTTGATGCATTGGGTCACAGGGTACTTTTGGCAAAAGAGTAGAGTTTGCCAAGTATGTTTCTCCCTAGGCCTACTATATGATACTGTCTGGTTCTGTAACTATAACCTCTTCTGTCCTTCTTTAGAACCAACTACATGTGCCTAACCAGCCGGAGGTTTCAGTTTACACTATAGAAAGAAATGTACATATGAAACATTATATGAAAATATTGTTAACTAAAAATGTTTTTATTGTATCTGACATAACCATAACAGTTTCCCTCACTCCCACGTGCAATAGTCAGACTGGCAGAAATTATCATTGCATGTTTTATGGCAATCGCCTTAGAAAATTTTCATTAAAAAAGAGAAATTTTGTATTTTTTGTGGAATTGAAAAAAATACTTAAATTTTACAGATACTGTATTCTACAGAGTCTTTGTATCCACTGAGGACTTCAGACCTTCAAACTGAAATACTGACGTACGGTCTGTTCATTCAAAGCAATGGGGGGTTGCTAGGCAGCCTTGTCATAATTCACTGTATTTCTTTTTCTTCTGACATCTCATTGGTGGTTGCCCTCAACAAGTAAAGCACAAAGACCTGCTATTGTACTGTTACCCCTCTGTGAAGGACTCTAGACTTCTTCACTTCCATCAGTTTTAATCAATATGATGCTTTTTGGCCAATATTGACTGGAAACACCAATTGGAAGATGCCAGGACCATCTTGTGGTTTTCATTCATTAGTAATGTTGGAATATATGGGCCCACAGTGTGACAGTTATGTGGACTTCTTCTGAGTACCTCACTTTTCTAGCAGTAGTGAGTCCAGCTCCGATTATAGGCCTCTGTCCTCAGGGGGTTGTCCAACACCACTCAACCTAAACTGGTGAAGTGGTTGCCTTTCACTAGAGGGCGCTCTCACATTACATTCAAGCACAGACCTTATATTGTAGCCATTTTTGGAGAAGCAGTAAATCAAGATATGGATCAAAGGTGCAACTGTAGCCAATTCATATGTCTACAAACTGTGTAACTATAATGGTGTATTTATTAAAAATCACAAAATTGATCATATCTACAAGTATATGATTTTATTTACATAAATGATCTTGGTGTGGATTGCTTTTTATTTTCAGACACTCAAAAAAGTCCTAACTGGACTTATTTAGGCCAGGAAATAGCATATTGTTAGGCTAAAGTAAAAATGTGAAACACATGCCGTTATATACATTCAGTACACAAAGATGTAGTTACCATAAATGTCTTGCATGGTGATTACAATATTTTGTTATTTTTAAGTTCTTTAATACCTGCATTTTAAGTAACTGTGAGCCATCATTATCATAAATAAAACATGTTTGAAATGTCTGATCGTGTGCACTGAATCTATATAAAATGAGTTTCACAACTAGCCAAATTTTTTGCTGGAGTACAGAGTTGTTGTTCTAGAGTTCTTATCAAATTATATAAGCAGAACCCTTTCCTATATTAATCAACTAAACTTAGAAGAATTATAATTTCAGTGTGCCTGTCGCACTTCTGTCTCATGTAGTTTTACTGTAATGTTTTACAGTGAGTCTGTTTTTTACAGTGTAGAAGGGTAAACCTGTGGATCACAAACAACTGATTACTGTGTAATTACAACAGCCCCTGCCACCATCGTGTTTACAAATGTGTAAATATCTGGACATTGCTCTTCTCACTAATACATATTGTTATTACTATACAGTTGTTATTATGGTTAAAATAATTATTTATTGTCATCACTCTGGTTGGCTTTAACAGTGTTGCCATGATTCTGTATTGAAGGGACAGTTGTGTGGGTTTCACATTGCTGCTATAAAATGTGGATAAAAGAGTCTTCTGGAAACTATGGAAAACTTTGGATCAACGATGAACAGTCTAATGATGGGCAGGCTACAGACAGTAGGACATGAACATTCAAACTCATGACTGTGTCTCTGTAAGCAGAACAGACTCTCCTCTCTGCTATTCTACTCTTAAATGTAGCAGCTCCAAGCCCTCACATCCACTCCTCCATGCTCTCTCTCACTTAACACCTTGATTTTAGACGGGTTTGATACAGCTTCAGCTCAGCCTCTCTTTGAGTTTCTTATGTTTTATACATATTTTACTCAGTGCCAAGACACATACTGTACATAACATGTTCATTATGAGTTGAGTGGAGCACATAGCAATAGTGATGCCATAGATCTGAACATGTGCGAATCCACAGTGGACACACAGTGCATGAAACCATCCTGATGTGAGTGTGTTGACATGATGCACTTTGCTGAGGCAGTAAAGCATCCACTTGTTTGTTCTGCTCATTTTGTACATAGAAATGACTCCTTGTATGAATTCTTGATCTGGATGTGTTGCTAAAGCCCAGAGAGATGGCACACTGTGATGTGGTTTATCCTAACACAGAATGTAACACTGTCAATGTTGTTCAAACATTTTCTAATGGTTAATATTATTATTACTATTATAATGATTATTATAAAGCTATTTTAGCGAGTTAATGAGATGGTGTGTGTTTTTTGTTTATCCCATGTAGAAATAAAACCATTCCGTTGTTTATATTACATAACCACCTTCAATCAGCAGTGATGGTAACACAATTATGCAGTAAGATTCTTCAATTCAACAATTATATACAACTAAAATAAGAAAACACTGAAAATCTATTACTTTCACTTTAAATTTATTTCCTCATTTAAAATTATATAAAAATAAGAAATAAATAGAAGTAGATGAAAAGAAAAATATTCCATTTGAGTTTCGGTGTGGAAATTTCATTCATAATTCTTACCAAACCCCTTCATAAAATATGAATAATGAATGTAAAATTGTGTTATAGATAGATAAAGATTCTTAAGCAATTAGTCCCATAAACCAGAAAAGTGCAATTTTTGCTTAAGAATGTAAACCTGAGTTGTAGGGTTTGTATGGTCAAACATCTACTGAACACCCTCTAGTTTGAGAGTCCAGGCCTGTCCCGGAGTGTCTGGGAGCTCAGGCAGGAGGATAGTGAGGCCAGCGCTAGGGAGCACAGGAGACCAGGCCAGAGGCTTAGGATTCCCCAGTAGAGTCACCTGGACAAGAAAGATGTGTGTAATACACTGGTTAATATATAATTTACAACGTTATATTAGCAGATCATTTACCTTGGTCTTTATTGAAGTTTTGGGAGCCAACAGTTGCATAATAGACTTAGGAGGCTTGATTGTCACAATTGCATACACAGTGGTATCTTTAGATGTAAACCTTAAAAAACAAGCACAAGAAAAATTTGAATAAATCTTAGTCTATTCTTCAGCTTGCAAATTAGGACTGTTTCATTGTCACGGTGCCTTAATTAATTACAAGTAAATTAGACCGTCTAATTACACTCATATTGTACAGCAGTATTACCAGACTGGTAGAGTGGAATTCTCATTCTGGACCCTCCAGGGTTTTGAAGCATAGATAGCTTCTCCATTGGTTTGTAGCCAGGATCCAACCCCCCTGAGTCTCTCCTCAAATACAGGTGGGATGGTCCCGTCTGCAGTGGGACCTATGTTCAGCAGGTAGTTACCACCCAGAGCCACAGTTTGAACCAGGTCCTGCAATGAGATAACCTCCATAACTTAAGTATTGCATGAGCATTCAATATTTGTATCATTCTGGCAAAATGTAACCACAAACAAAGTTAATGTTTCTGTTCTATTGAACACATATACCTTTATGATAGTGGGCAAGTCCATGAGTTCATTGAGCCTCATGTTTTTTCTATAACCCCATGAGTGTGTGTCCACAGATGTACACTTCTCCCACTTGTGTTTGGGCAGCTGCCCTGGAGTGTACTTATCCTCACAGTTATAGTAACCTCCATGTTTACAGGCACAGCCTGCTCCCCATCTGTCATTGGTCACAACGGTGTCCTAAAACAATACATTATTACTATAAAGAATATTCCCTCAGTTATAAACAATTAATGCCACTGTGTGCTCATACTTTGACTGGACTGTCATTGTAGAGCCAAGCCAAAAACGCAGTGGAGTTCCAGTATGTGTCCGGTGCCTCCCAGTCCCCATCAGACCAGATCACCTCAGGTTTGTACCTGTGGGACAAAGAAAATTATACATAGAATATTTATAATGTAATGTAATTGTATTTGTAACAAGGGTGTCTAACAAACCTCACAACCAAGTTGTACATCTCTGGGAGCAGCTTGTTTACAACAAACTCCTGGGTCTTGAAGCCATTTTTTTTGTCAATCAGATAGAGTGGGTGGAACCACTCAAACAAGGAGTTGTACAATCCATAGTGAAGAGACCTAAAAGAACATGTGTTTATTGTACACACTGAGCAAAGCCTTAAAGCCCAAAACTCTTACCTGTTTCGGACCGCCTCCCCCAGGTCCCCTACCAGGTCTCTGTGAGGGCCAGTGTCCACAGAGTTCCAGTTCCAGGAGAATGGTGAACCCCACGTAGTGAAGCCTTCATGGTGTTTAGAGGTCAGAACCACATACCTGTTCAATCAGGTAACATCATGTGACTTGCATTTGCAAAGCAGGAAGTAAAAACTGTGCTGTACAAATAGATATATGGGCTCACTTTGCACCCGAAGCCTTGAATATGTCAGCCCACTGATCAGGGTCAAAGAACTGCGCGTGAAACTGAGGAGCAAAATCTGGGTAGCTGAACCCTGGGGGGTAGTTCTTGGACATAAAGCTCACACATTTGGGATCCGGAGGTTGCTGTCCCTGCCAGTGCCACCAGAACCACTCACTTTCGAAAGCAGGCACACTAAACACTCCCCAGTGCACAAAGATGCCCAGCTTGGCTTCATCATACCAGGCGGGCAGAGGTCTCGCGTCCAAGCTAGTCCAGTCTGCTGAATACCGAGCCTCGGTTGCCACAACACCGGAGACAAAGAGGAGCACTACTGCGAAAAACATCTTGCGCGCTTGGATTTCCTCCTTCGGGGAATTACATTCGCGTTAAAATATTAAAACGTACGTTATTCAGCGACATTAAGAGAACAGTTTCCTTATTCAGACAGACGTTAAGCAAGATCACGAGTTCATTCACTTTTCTTCCTGGTTTACTTGGCGTCTGCATGTCACGTGTCATCACAACAGTCACGTGACTATACGTAGGCGTGTGTAGTTAAAATAACCATTGCTATGGAGAAATAAAATTAAACATCTAATAAGTGAACATAGATCACACAATATTATTTAATAAATAGACATGTATTAATTTACAGCGAAAAACCAGTGTAAAAATCAATAAATTATGACAAGTATATCGCAAACACAGATTACAAATTTATTAATTGCGCTATACTTAAAAAAAAAAAAAAAAAGTTAATCCACATGATAGAATGAATAAGTCATAATTAACATCCTTTACCCATTACATGAAGACATTATTTTATTAATATTCTTTACATTACACGGGGCCAACATCTGAACAGACCCCAGCAAGCTGCCTGTCCACAAGGTCCTCCACTCGGCCCACCTCCACCTCCTCCACATCATCCATAAAACTGGACCAGTCGGCGCCCCCATCTGGCCGCTCCCCTGCCTCTGCATGGTTGACAGGGTGCCCAGAGTCTTCATTTGTGGTTGTCACACAGTTACAGCTGTCACAGAGACCATACCGCTTCAGACCTGAAGTCACGGCAGATCCAGTGAATGTCCTCCTACAGCTTTTGCAGGACACAGGCCAGCAATCTTTGTGAACCTACCAGTAGAGGAAAGAAAGTAACAAAAACAAAACATAAACTAGTGGCAACTGATCATATTTTGTTCTTATATTTAGACTACATAAAAATGTGTTGAGTTCAGTGGGCATGTCAAATGTTATTCAGTTGATTTGAAAAGGCCAAAATATGACGGTAAGAACTAAAAAATATTAGTTGCAACAAATGAAAAAAGTCATTTAAATTCAAAATTCCGAAAAAGTACCCCTAAATGTAAAGGTATGTACATGGCTGTATGTGACTTTTACTTCAAGTTTGATGTCATGAAGCTGATCATATCTTACTGAAATAGTAATGTTATAAGACAAGGCGAATGTGAATTAAGTATTTACAGGATTTCACCGGTGCATTGTAACGCATAATGAATTCTTACACTGAAAGCATGACTCCGTAGGTGCTCTTGTCTTGTGAACCTTTTGCCACACAGCGGACAGGGAAACGGACGCTCCCCTGTGTGACTGCGGATATGCCTCTTCAAAATCCCCTTTTGTTTGGACGTGTAGGGGCAGAATGGGCACTTGTGGAGTTTCACCTGCACTACTAGGCTATCACCTGCAGGAGGAAAGTGACATAAAAATGCTGATTTCTTTTGCAGTGGCTTAATCACTAAATATTAACATTGGTTTAAGTGTTGCAATCATGATCAACAAATCTCCAAAACTGCAATTATATGTATAGTGCTATACTCCAAGTCTTTATTCATCAGTAACTACCAATAAAAAATAAAATTACTAGTTCTGATTAAAGACAGTCAAAATTTCAGTGTAGTATAATAACCTGCTTTGGGTGGTCAGAAATTGTCATGAACTTAAAAACTAAAGTACAATCATAATTAGGTAGATTTTACCTGTGTCCTCTCCAAGCCAATCACCATGAGCCTCCATCATGGTCGATCCCACAAAACTCAACCCATCATCCATTCTGCTCCCCCCTGGGCCCCCGTCTAGTCCCGGGGCAAAACGTGGACTATCCCTCTCTACAATGGGGACAGGGCCTTCACCTCTCGCCAGCATTTCTATCAAGTGACGGGCATTGAACGTAGGACTGTAAGGAGACCGCTCATTGTGTGGCGATGATGGAAGGAGTCTGTTATGAAGACTGTGATGAGGCTGGGGAGTGTATGAAGCCATCATTTTAGGGTCAGGGGACTCGATGAGCACTGGTTCATCAGGGTCATATTCTATTTTAGGGTTTACAAGCTCTGGGGTCATGGCAGAGGATGAGGAGGATGAGAGGTTAGTTTGATCTGTATTTTCTTTGTGTCTTTCTTCTCTAAAATCTTCTTGAATATGGAAGTTGCTGTCCACTTCTCGGCTGGATCCTGCTGGGCTATTGTTAGATAAGGACGGGAGAGTTTTAGCAGATGATCCACTTTGGGTTGCTCCATGGTCAGTTTCGTCATCTTCCATTTGAGATGCATTGATTATTGGACCAGTGGAGTTGGTCACTGCTTGAGAATCTGATTTGTCTTTTGCCTGACGCTCCTTGCCAGCATTTCTTTCCCTCTCCTTGTTGCAAATTTCCAAAGAGGAGTTGATATAGTCTTTACAGAAGTTCACCAAATCAGTCATCTGCAGGTAGCTTGCTGCAGACATCACCTCAATGACATTGTTGCGGTGTAGGTCTAGGCGACCAGAGTACATAAAGTCCAGGATAATTGTAAAAGCATCAGCTGTGACTATATCTAGTGAGGCCGTGCAGTGGCGCTGACTGCTGTCCTGTAAACAAAGAATGTACATTTTCGTTCCTGTGGTTGCACAAAAACTACTATGATGATGAGCTGTCACTTACTAAAAGAATACATCAATACTAATAAACATAAGAAAAACATTACAAGTGTATTAAGATTTGTCATTACAATAACCATAACGATCTGTTAAGGTGAGTCCGGCCCAACTTATAGACATTTGTTAAGAATTTGTTGTAGTCACCCAATAATAATAATAATAATGTACGGAGAAGAGAAACCATCAACTTACCTGTATGAAGTGCACCAGAAGAGCTCGGAAGTAGCCGCTGCCTGCAAACAGTACATTGCGATGGGCTTTAAACACACGACCCTCCACAAGAATACTGCAGTCACAGAAAAAGTCCCGTTTGCGCTGTTCGTTTAGGTCAGCCACAAGCCTAGGGAGGTAGCAGGGGACTTCCATATTTAATCCCCTCCGGCTTCTGTCAACAACAAAGAAATGTAAACTTTAGACGGTTATAGATGGCTATGTCAGTCAGTTTAAGCTCAAATTTTACACCATTAAAAAATAACTTTAACAACAACATCCCGTAGTTGTGGATGGCAAAGAAGATCTATTGTTAGCCTCTAAAGCAGAACAGTTACTGACTCGGACCGATTAAAGCTTGATTTACCGATCATATGCTTACTTACATTGCATCTATTATTAAAATACATCTACGTTTAATCTTACCTGTTTTACTTGTGACTGAGATCTATATAAAAAGCATGGCATATATATTAATGGCAATTTTTTTTTCTTTAATACCCACATCACACATCCAGCTCCGCTCTGTTGTTGACCCAAATCAGGACGGTCACTTCCGCTTACTGTCGGTGGTTTTTGGGTTTTCATGTGCGCTGGCTCATGAAGTGCTGCCCTCTGCTGGCCCGTGGTGCAGTCAACAGTCAGGGGGAATAATCCAGAAGTCAGAAGGTCGAGGTACGAGTTTATTAAAAATAAGATCATAGGTATGTGTTAAATGTTCTAATATATTTTGAGTGGGCTTTCTCCATCGTAAGTTTAAGTCTAATCACCTATTTACAAATATGTAAACTAAAGGCTAAAGGCTAATGCAGTGTTTGTAGGCACAGGCCATAGATATTGAATGTAAATATTGAGCTGTTCAATATCTATGGGCATAGGCTAAGTAGCTTTGCAAAATGTAAAATGAAGCAGTTAGAAGATCAGTGTACTCAAGTGCTTTTTTAAAGGGGCACTGTGTATTTTTTTCTTTTGGAGGGCCCAACACCTGCATACACTGTTACCATGTTCCTCGGGATGGCATTAAACTTGTCTATCTTTATTCAATTAGGTTATGAGTGTTTTTATTAAGAAACTGGCATTCTTTCAATTGCCTCTCGACATATCTGATTTGTAACTTCACCTGAGTCACCCCTCATCACCATTGAGAGGTAAGGTAAATGTTATACTGTGGAACATTCTTGGTAAAGCAATAATATCTCCAAACAGACAAACAGATGATGGGCCCTCCACCAGAAAAGTTACAGAGTGCACCTTTAAATTGGGGACTGTTGATCGAGAAATGCATTAGATAAAGATAATGCAATAATTATTTCTGGCTCCAGGTTGTTGTATAAGAGATGGAGGAGCCTCCTGAACCTGAGCCTGTCAAGATTTGTTCCTACTTTTACCATGGTCATGAGCTATGGGACATGACCAAAGAGATCTCAAATTCAAGTGGTTCAAAGAAGTTTTCTCCACAGGGTGGCCGCCTCAGCGCCAGCCCTGTCAAAAATAATGATTTACATTTGCATTATTTCCTACATACTTGATTTGTAGTAATGGCTGCCTCTGTCCCCATTTCATCTATTAATTAAAAGCATGTGCTGGGACCCTTTATGACTAATGATGACAATGATGAAAATAATAATGCGATGGGGAAAGAATATTGGCTTCTTTTCATTCCATCGCCACCATGCTTCAACCACAGGCGGCTCGCTCTGCCCACAACCTCTGCTCAAGAGCCCTTGTTTATTTGGGTTTGATTTTGAAGTGAAAATAGTTCCCTTTTTATTTTCAGACATGGCATGAGTAAACAAGCAGTTTCTTTAGATTTTGCACCGCGCCCTCACAGTGCTTGGAGCTGGAGCATCTTATTTGTGTTAGATATTTTCCCATGGCACAAGAGCAAAATACAAAGACTTCGTGGTGGCCAGAAGAAACCACTGGGTAGGCGTACATGAGTCTGTGCACTGGCTGTCTTTTGAAAATGACATTTACAACACCCCGTAAAAGAGTATTCACGCATGCAGGCACTAATTGTAAAGCCATATAAAGTAAGATTGTTTGTTATTACGCGAGAACAGCCGACTGACCTGTGTTTTGTTCACAGCTAAACAACCCTGATGCACTTTTTGACATAGAAAACCTCTAATGTAAAGTAAAGTTAAATTTAGCGTATGTATTTCCCCCTTACAGGAAAATACAACCTCTGCATTTGAACCATCATTGTCAGGAGTTGAGCCAACCTTAGTCAGACTCAGGATTATCTGGATGACTTTGCTTATTTTGCATGTTTTAGGTTCATGTGGAGAGAAGGGCGTCCAGAGGAAACATGGAGAGCATGCAAACTCCGCCCAGAAG